CTTGAATTAAATTATTCTATTTTAAATATCATATAATTAAATAATATTAATTTATATTAATAATAATATTATTATTATTAAAACTATTGCTAATAAAATGTAAAACAAATTAAAAAATAGAATATAAAATAAAATTTTAAAGTAAATAAATACAGGGTGAGTTACAAATTAGCCCCCACGATTTTTATATTATATTTTGCTTTAATATAACCATAACCTTGACTCACGCTGTATATGCATGTCATCATAAAAAAATCATCACATTTTTCTAGAATCCTCGTTCCTTAAAATTGACTAAAAAAAAGGTTTATTTTACGCAAAAAAAAAACCACGGTCTAAGTATAAAAGTAAATGCCAAAACTGAATGCAAAAACCTTAACAGTTCTCCCGGAAAAAAAGGTTCCTAAACAACGCGTGCGAGATGGCATTCGAAACGACTTCTCCGACGAGCCGCCCGACCGGGCTTAAAAAATTGATCAATATTCGAATCGCGCGAGGCGCGCCAGCAAATTGTTATTAAGGAGAGTAATGCCGACGCGACGTGCCGGAGAACTTTTTAGCGGCCAGTACGAGAAACCAGTACCGCTTTTTTGTAGCACCTTCGTACGCCGGTACGGGACACCGGTGGTCCCATCGTGGGCCCACCGTGGGCCCATCGTGGTCCCACCATAGTGCCATCGGGCCCAGGCACGCGAGGCTCCCGTGAAGGACGAAAGCGTGTTCCCACGTCGCACGCAAAACCGCAAATTCTTTTATCATCGGACCACATTAACGGTCACGTATGCGGAAAGACATCCGGGACTTCGGCATCTCTCCCCTCCCGCCCCGCGCGCAAGGCTGGCCCGCTCTCGAATTCCATGGCTGACGCCTGCCATTATGGCTTTTTACGCGCCTCCGTAGCCGGAGGACGCGCTCGCGGAGATACGCGGAACGGTATTAACGCTCGAGCAGAGTCTGAGCAAATGTCATTCGAGATAATAAACAATAAACAATAAGCGACAAATGTCAAATTAAATTAATATTTCGTTTACGAAATTAAGTTAAAGAAAATTCAGTTATTTTATTAAAATAACAAAAATCACTTGGAATAATTCCACTAAATAATTTGTTTATTATTCCTTGGTTGTTTATAGAATCTTTCATTTGGATGTTAGGGAATGGTAATAAATCATTTTCGCCTCTCTTTCTCGTCCGCTGTATACATTTATTACATAATTATTTATATAATGATTAATTATATAATTATTTATATAATTATTTATATCCATTATTACATAATGGATATAATATTATATAATATTATACATTAGTTTTTCGAAGAAAATATTATTCTATCAATCGCTATTCGTGTTAATAATATCAATATTATTAATTAATAATAGTTAATATCAAATCTTAAGTTAAAAATCAAATTAATGTATTAATATTAATATTACTAATTAATAATAATTCATAGCAAATTTTAAATTAATAATTAAATTAATATATTAATATTAATAATACTAATTAATAATAACTAATATTAAATTTTTAATTAAAAATTAAATTAATGTATTAACATTAATGTTACTAATAAATAATAATCAATATCAAATTATAAATTGAAAATTAAATTAATATATTAACATTAATATTACTAATTAATAATAACCAGTATCAAATTATAAATTGAAAATTAGATGAATATATATATATATAAATTATAAATATGAAAAATTAAATTAATATATTAATATTAATATTATCTAATCTTATCGCTGCTCGCGTGTCGAAGCGACGATAAATCGACGTCTGCGATTACAGGTTAATTTGACTTATTTCTGTTTCTTGTTTCCTTTTTATTGTGGCCGTCTCGAATACACCGATCGAACAGCGTGAACGATCCATGGCGCGCGTAAGAGCACTTTGGTACTTCGCGGCACGCGCATGAATCAAGGTCAGTGACCGGCGATGACCAAACACCGCGAAAAGCAAGGTGTGCCGCCACGGTAAATACAATTTCGTACATAGTATAGTATATTATTGCGCATCGGCCGCAATGTGTACGCCGGCGAAATAATGGTCCATCGGCGAATGGCCGTCTAGCGAACGCTGAGGTTCCTACCGGACGGTGACGTCACGAACGCGTTCACCTCTCAGCGTCATGTCGCCGCTCGTGGGTTCCTCCGTGTTAACCTTTTAGGCACGGTAAGCTGCTATAGCGGCTTCCGTGGATACCATCGATTTGAACGGTACGTCGCTATAGCGATATTTTATTGGATATCGTGATTTTGGACGGTTATTATACGCATATAATAGTAATAATTAATTCATTAACACGTCGAATGCCACGGGGATCACCGGTGACCGGCACTTAACTTGGCGGTAACGCCATGGGGGCCACCGGTGACCGGCGCGCCCAAATTGATAGAAATATATATAATTTAAAACAAATGTCAATATCTAAAATTTTGTATGATTACCATCATCAATTCAAACAGTGACACCTGTCGCAATTAACATGTCAAACATGGTTATACACTGTAACTTATCTATTGCAGATAATATTTCAACACTATACAGGGTGTCCCAAAAATGTCTCGCAATCCGGAGATGGCGGGTTCCTCGGACCATTTGAAGCAACTTCTTCCTTTACAAAAATTTTCTCCGAGGCATCGTTAACGAGTTATTAACGAAAAACAGTGACCAATAAGAATCGAGTACAGCTGTCGCGAGGCGGCCCAGCCAACCAGCGCGCGAAGCCCAGTACCGCTCATAGCTCGTTAACGGTGCCTCGGAGAACATTTTTGTAAAGGAGAAAGTTGCTTCAAACGACTCGAGGAACCCGCCACTTTCGGATTGCGAGACATTTTTGGGACACCCTGTATGTATCACATAAAAGAAAATTCAACGTGGAGCCACAGACAATTTCTGTAAAACCGGCATGGCATTCAACGTGTTAATTAATGAAGTTCTTCGATGTCTAGATAAATCATAATTCATTCATTTTGAGCTCTATCCGCGCGTAATGTCGCAGTGGAAATCGTCGTGAACGGGTTTTGTGCCACCCGCGACCAAGCGCGCCGTACCTAAAAGGTTAACGATAGCGAAAATTCCGCAACTTTCGATCGACAACTGCGGAAAATCTCACGCAAAAATGCATATATTACAAATTATGTGGACGTTTTGATTATTGCATGACAAATATTGCGGACGTTTCCGATTACCACGTGTCAAATACCGTGGACGTCTCGATTACTGTGTTACTCTGGAATGTTATATTTCCGATATATTTGTGCAAAAGAGTTTCCTCCATGAATTTCTGGCAAGGCTAACGCCACGTTTTCCATAGGGTGGCATAACCTTACATTTTTCCTTTTCTCTACATCGTTTGATATTTTCTGTTCTCTTTCCTTCGACTTCTTCCTTTGGACTTTTCCTATTTTCTTTTAAATGTACACGCGCAGCTACGATTTCTAGGATCAAGATATTCTCACTGCAGCACTTTGCAAATTAGGTATAGGTGCTCCACGATCGAGCATGTTCGCACCGGCGCATCGAGTACTGCGCCGTATAGGTTAAGGTACGCGGTTCGGTAAAGCACCGCGGTAATGTTCGCGCATAGTAAAAAATTATGCGCCAAATATGTGCTGTGTTAGACAATAATATTTGAGGCTAGACGATAGCGACAGTGTGCGTCGATTTTTGATCAAAGTGACGATTACTTTATCTAAAAATAACGCTAAAACGAATAGCTTATTATTAATTACCAAAATATAAATGCCTTTCGAATCAGTGTTCGCAGCTGCCGTTGCAAGTATTTCATAATACTCGACGTTTTCATGAGCTTTCGAATATCGAAAATCAATAAATGAATTAAAACTGCGATTGCTGTTACTCGCGTGTCGTAAATCATCGATATTAAACATATAAAAAAATTATGAGATTCATTTTTGGAAGATTACGCACTGCGAAATGTTAGATTTTATTACTTCTATAAAGTACTACAGTATTCGGGGCGTCCGCAGCAGTACCTACACTTAACCTATAGGCGTTTAGTAAAAAATTCATAACTTCTAAACTAATTCATTCTCGACCTAAGAGCCCCAATAGTTTTTCAACGGGGATGCAAAGATGCATCGATTCATGGAAAAGAATATACAATTTCCCTGTAAAAAATGATGACGACCTTAATGCTTTCATTGAATAAAAAGTTGCTCGCTAATTTTTCCGAATGCAATTTATCGTCGCACGATTACCGACTGTCTTTCGTTCGAAAATCTTTTTTATCGGCTCGTCGGAGACGCGCGTAAAATCGTGACGATCATTCTCGACGCGAAACCGGAGAATCCGATAAAAATTGCGTGAAACGGTATCGAAATCTACGCTCTCCTCTATCGGTATTTCAAGATACAGTCAGCCATGAAAATATTGGACACCGGTGTTTTTTCACTTTCGTTCATCGTTCGTTACACCGCGCGTCGCGGCGCGATCAGCGTCGCGCGGGAGACAATTTCGAGAATTCCGAGGAACTCGCGGAAGTGCGCGCGGAGGGAAACAAAGAAACCGGGGGAGGGGGAGGGACAAAGATAGCCTGAAGAGGAAGCCTGAAGAGGCTGGCGTCGCTACGGTCGTCGGCCACCAAGAGGTCCGGCAGTGCTGCACCGAGCCTCAAGCTATATCGAGAGCCGCATTCTCACTCTCTTACTCTCTCTCTCTCTTTCTCTCTCTCTCTCACTCTCTCTCTCTCGCTCTCTCTCTCGGTTCGGTTCGGTTCGGTTCAGACGTCGTCGACGACGGACCGCCGCCGCCGCCGTCGCCGCCGTTCGCCTAGGCCGCTGAAACCCCCTTCCTCGGGTCAGATCTTGATCGAGCTGTCGATCGATGACGGGCTTCCGGTTGTCCGACGTGCCGGAACCGACGGAAAGCTGGCCAGGAACGGAGTGATCGTCGAGCTCGGCTCGACGTGGAAGAGGAGGAACGACCATGGGCAACGCTACCACGAAGAACCACTACTCGAAGAGCAGCCTGGTCGTCGGCGGCGCCTCCAGAAGACCGCGCTGGGAGGGATCAGGTTAGACATCGCTTCCGTTTCCGTTTCCGTTTCGCAATTTTCTTACTCGCGGGCCGTTTCCGGGCCCGCGCTGCCAGGCCGCAAGGTCCCCGCCAAATATGTCAAAGGTTGGCTCCCCGAGGGTCGAGGACGTGTCATCGGACACTGCGCCACCGGGCGCCATCTTGATCGGGACTCGATCGACGATGCGCGAACAGCTTCCGACAACTCTCGACGGACAGCGCGAATGCTGCCGCGCGACGCGACACGGCGCGACACGACGCGACACGACGAGACACGACGCGTCGTCGCCATTGCCGCGTCGCGTCCCGCCTGGCCAAAGGGGAAGCCTCCGGCGACGAGAATGATACCGCGAGGGTTGCGCGCGATGCATCCGGCGTGACTGACGGAGCTTCCGGTAACGGTGACTCGCCGTGCAACGACGACGGCGACGACGGTGTCGCGACGGTGCGCTGTGTGTCTCGGCTGGCTTCTTCGATTGGCTTGCTTCGACGGTGGAACGATCGCTAAAATTAGGCTGCCTACGCCGACGGATCTGTCAAGATCGCGCAACCGTTTGAGTGATCGGCAGACGCCGGGGTAATTAGCCAGCTGATTCTGTTGCCGAACCGACCGACCCCCACCGGGCTCTTTCCTTCGCGGCTTTTAACCTTTCCACGGTGTTTTGCGACCTGTTTGCTTTCGCACACGGGTTTCTCAGTTTAATACCGTCTCGGCGGAGTCGGATTTAAGTGACTCTGCTTTTTTTCACGGTAGATGCAGATGTTTTATGTCGGTTTATAAAACTAACGATTTATTCGGTTTTTGAAACGGTGTTGTTGTAACGTTCGTAGAAAGAAATAGGTATTGAATAGATAACTCGTAATCGTATTTTTAGGATCTGAATAATTGTAAATTAATATATCATCGGCTTGTTATTTTCGAGGGTTCCGTGAACCTAGTGTTAATTAATTCTGAAACGGCGGACCTTTCTGACGGAAATATAACCTAGCATGCTTCGGATCATTTATAATTTTATTTAGCAAACTTTTCGGTAGATTTTAATGCACTGATGGATATTGAAAATAGCAAATTACTCTAACGTTTTAATTATTGTGTCTTAAGAACAATTCAGGACGCAGTTGAATGTAATGTTAGTATCATTGTAAGAAATGATATGTTAATGTTGTTAATAATATCATTTCTGAATGATGCATTATTATTATTATTATTATTATTATTATTATTATTATTATTATAAAGAATGATAACATGATTTAGAAATGGCGAGTTAATATTATTATAAATAACGATGATATCATCTAGAAATGATGTGTTAATATTATTATCAAACAATGACAATATCATTCAGAAACGATGTGTTAATATTATTATAAAAAATATCATATCACGATATTATCGTATCACTTAGAAAACGATGTGTTAATATTATTATAAATAATGATGACACCGTTAAAGACTACAATGTTAATGCAATTTAATTCGTTTCAATAATTTCATAATTTTACTCAAATGAAATTAATTATAGCGTTCGCGTAAAATTTTATCATAAATTTAAAAAATAAAGAAATAATAAAGAAAAAATATTCCTTAAACGTGACGCATTTTTGCATGGCAACCGGTGACCTAACCGCTCGAACAATGATCCGCGACAGCCGTGTACCGTGTTTCAAAGGTTTTCGCGACTGAAAGTATCGGTTTCTGAAAAAACGCGTCGACGACGACGCGTCGCAAAGTTTCGCTCTCGCTTTTATGGAAGTTTCTTTTGCGCTGGAAATTCTCTATTTATTTACCGTCAAATCAGCCGGCAATCCAAAATTAACTCGTGCGCCTCGGGGGCGTTTATTTTAATAGCCGATGGCAGGCCCTGTTGAAAGGTAGCTGGGCTCCACGGGGCGGATGAAAGCGCGAAAAACGCGAAATCTCGTTTCGACGAAACGAAAAAAAAAAGACGTAAAACGAAAAAACCGACCAATTTTCTTGAAGAACGACGCGTCCGTCGTGTACGCTGCAAATTTTGACGCGTTCCATTAAAGATCGAGGAGTTAATTAGCAGAATCCGGCGACCTAGAAACAAACCGTTTCCCAGACCTGAAACGTAAATAGAGAAATGTGAACGCTGCTTTGGATATGAATGCGGCGTTCATTGTTACGAGGACGGGAAACCAATGGTGCCTCGTGGTCTCGATCGTTCGAGCCGTCGACTGGTTCACGCCGCACCCCAATTTCTTCAGCTAATTACCGTCTGCTGTTACGATTATTTTTTCTACTTTGATTAATAATTATACTTCATTAATACTAATTAATTGATTAATTAATTTATACACATATACACATATCCTCTCTGAGTGTCCACTCTCCCCCCCCCCTCTCTCTCTCTCTCTCTCTCCCTCTCTCTCTCATATATACATATATATATATACATTCTCTATATATTCCCTATACAATATTTTCTATATATTTTCTATATATTCTCTATACATATATTGCCTATATATTCTCTACATATTTTCTACATATTCTCTATATATTCCCTATACAATATTTTCTATATACTTTCTATATATTCTCTATATATTCCCTATATATTCTCTATGTATTTTCTATATATTCTCTATATATTCCCTATATATTTTTTATATATTCTGTATATATTCTATATATATTTTATACATATTCTATTATATTATTATTATATAGATATAGATATAGTAATAATATATATAACATAATATTAATAATATAATAATCTAATCTAATATATATATAGAATAGAATT